TTCCACTGCGCCATGGCATCGATGAGCCGCAACCACGGGAATCAGCGGCTGAACGGGGGCCACAGGGGAGAAGTCGTCTGCGAGGAGCCGGGCGGCGGCGAGGGGTCCATCGTCATCTCGCTGTGGAATGTGGACGACGAGTCGCTACATATGTTCGACCAGCGAGGAGGTGAAGCTCATCATGCCCACATCAGCGCGTCAGGCGCGCAGGCCGCGCGCGCGCGGCTCCGACGACGAGCTGGCCCGGGGCATGGCAGGATGCAGCTGAGAGCCCCCGCTTCTCATGGAACTTCGACACCAGCGGCGGCAAATTCCCCGTGTGCAGCGTGACGTGCGTCAGGCCTTCGGCGGGGCCTCGTCAGCCTTCATGGGCTACCGACGCGACTCCCATCAGCAGGATCGCCATGGACTTCGGGGGGGCGCTGCTCGCCAACCTCGGGGTGCGCATCATGAGCACCGGGCCCGTCATTGCGGGTAACGAGCAGCGCCGCCACGCGACGCTGGAAGATGCGGCGGGCCATGCGCTGAGCGCGACTTTGTGGGCGGGGCACGCTTCGGACTGGAACATGGGAGGAGATGGCTTTTTCTACGCCGGCAACGTTGAGATCGCATGCGCCGGGAAGCGCAAGGAGACCGGGGCAGAGTTCTCGGTGCCCCGCGCACGCAGCGCGCGGTGGAACAGCGTGATTGCACCCGAAGAGTAGATGCAGCGCCAGAAAGGAAGGCCGCGACGTTGGGCAGCAGTTGTTTATGGCTCATACTTGTTTGGCGGCAGCGCGCAGTGGTTGTGACCTGTTGAAGGACCGTGCGATGCTCAGCCTGTAGACGTATCACTGTTGTGCCTGCCGATGTCTCTGCCGCGCCGTGCCAGTTGATTTATTGTGCGAGGCAGCGCTCAACCCTTCGCGCCATTCCGCTCTGAATTGTTTTATTTCCGGCTGCCTCGTGGCACCGCGGGGGGTCGCCCGCGCGCGCGTCTGCGCAATCCGCGCGAGCGCGCGCGGCCGCGCCCCGCGGGGAGCGCCCGCGTCCGCCCTCCTTGTTGCTCGCGCCTCTGCGCGTTTGGACATCCTTCCATCGTCGCCCCATATCCTGGCCCCTTGCCGTTCATGCCTTCTCGCGCGCTGTCAATCTCCCTGCTGGTCGGCCACCGGGCCTCTTCCATATTCCAACATCCCAACGCACTCTCTGATCTCCTCCCTCCCTTGAGGACTGTGACGGGGTGCGCAGCTGTGCTTTCGATTGCTTTCTCGGGCCGTCGCTCCGAGTGTAGTGGGTATTTTTCAGCGACACGCGCGTCCTTGGAAGAGCCTGGAAGAGACGCGAGCGCGCCCCTCCAATTGGCCACTGCGCTGGCCGCGGGTACCCTCTCACAACGAACAGCTCACTGAACGCGAAGGCACCCCATGCACCCACTCCGCCCCGCCCCCCCCCCGGCGCGGCGCCAGGCGCCGAGCCCCCCGCCCTCGCCGGCAATCGCGCGCGTCGACTCTGGCCCCCGCTTCCCAGTTGAATGCAGGCGTCGAATTCCGCGCCCGCGCCCCGCAGCTGGGCGAGCTTGCGTCGCCGTCTTCCGCTTCCAATACGGGACGAAACACCAGCCGCGACATGCGCTTGCAAAACACATGTTGACGCTTCGCGCATCCCCACCAGCCCATCCAGAAACGATGCCCATGAGAACTGACGGGGGGAAGGAGGAAAAGACGTATAGTCAAGCAGCGCGGGCAACAATAGTGAATTGCTTTGGAGGCCTCTTGGGGCGTCTATGGGGGTTTCTTGGATGCCTCGGGGATGCTCTTGAGGCCTCTTGGGGGTCTGTTGGGAGCCTCTTGGACGGCTCTTGGGGCCGTCTGGGCGGCCCTTGGGACGTCTGGGGGGTATCTTGGCCGTCTTGGGGGGCTCTTGGGCGTCTTGAGTGCCTCGGGGGAGCCTTTGGGGCCGCTTGGGGCCCTCTTGGGGGCCTCTTGGAGGCCTCTTGGGGCCGTCTTGGGGCCATCTTGGCGCCTCTTGGGGCCTCCCGGGCGCCTCTTGGGGCCATCTTGGAGGAGATCGACCAAAGAAGGGGGGGTCCTTAATTAGCGTTGCCCCTCGAGAGCGCCTAAAATAGCCTCCTGGGCCCCTCTTGGGGCGCTCTTGGAGCGCTCTTGGGCGTTCTTTGGGCCGTCTTGGGGCTCTATTTGGCGTTCTTGACGACGGTGACGATCCTAGCTAGAACCTAAGCGCGCGCGAAGCGCGCGCGTGGTTCTAGTTAACATATTTTTTAATGCACAGGGGGGGCGCTGGGGGTGGGGGGAGGGGGGGCTTATGGCTGCATGCTCCCAGGGCGCGGCAGGCGCGGCATTTCATCGACGCCACACGGGGGGCGCCGGGGCTGGGGGCCCCATGCGCTGCAGGCTCCCACGGCGTGGCAGGCGCGGCATTTCCTCGACGCCACAAAGGGGTGCGCTGGGGGTGGGGGCCCTATGCGCTGCAGGCTCCCAGGGCGCGGAAGGGTAAATTCCTACAGAGACACTCCGCGGGGACCAGGGCGCCGCTGGGGGTTTGTGGGCTTAAAATGGGCTGGCTCCCATCCCATTGCGTGGCAAGCATGGCATTCCTCGACTGCCACATGGGGTGTTCTTGGGGGGGGGGGGGGGCGTAGCGCTGCAGGCTCCCAGGGCGCGAGAGGCGTAGCATTCCCTCAACGCCACAGGGGGTGCGCTAGGGGTGGGGGCCCAATGCGCTGCAGGCCCCCAGGGCGTGGCAGGCGTGGCATTTCCTCGACGCCACAAAAGGGGTGTGCTGGGGGTGGGGGGGCCCATGCGCTGCATGCTCCCAAGGCGTGGCAGGCGTGGCATTTCCTCGACGCCACGGGGGGGGGGTGTGGGTGGGGGCCCTGTGCGCTGCAGGCTCGCAGGGCGTGGCAGGCGTGGCATTTCCTCGACGCCACAGGGGGCGCGCCAGGGGGTGGGGGGGCACATGCGCTGCAGGCTCACAGGGCGTGGCAGGCGTTGCATTTCCTCGACGCCACAGGGGGTGCTCTGGGGATGGGGGCCCAATGCGCTGCAGGCCCCCAGGGCGTGGCAGGCGCGGCATTTCCTAGACGCCGCAAGAGATGCGCTGGGGTGGGGGCCCTAAGCGCTGCAGGCTCCCAGGGCGCGGCTGGCGTAGCATTCCCTCGACGCCACAAAGGGGTGCGGTGGGGGTGGGGGCCCTATGCGCTGCAGGCTCCCAGGGCGCGGCAGGCGCGGCATTTCCTCGACGCCACAGGGGGCGCGTTGGGGGTGGGGGCCTCATGCGTTGCAGGCCACCAGGGCGTGGCAGGCGTGGCATTTCCTCGACGCCACAGGGGGTGCGCTGGGGGTGGGGGCCCTACGCGCTGCAGGCTCCCAGGGTGTGGCAGGCGCGGCATTTCCTTGACGCCACAGGGAGTGCGCTGGGGGTGGGGGCCCCATGGGTTGCAGGTCCCCAGGGCATGGCAGGCGCAGCATTCCCTCGACGCCACAGGGGGTGCGCTGGGATTGGGGGCCCATGCGCTGCAGGCTCGCAGGGCGTGGCAGGCGCGGCATTTCCTCGACGCCACAGGGGGTGCGCTGGGGGTGCGGGCCCTATGCGCTGCAGGCTCCCAGGGAGTGGCAGGCGTGGCATTCCCTCGACTCCACAGGGGGTGCGCTGGGGGTGGGTGCCCCATGCGTTGCAGGCCCCCAGGGCGTGGCAGGCGCGGCATTCCCTCGACGCCACAGGGGGTGCGCTAGGGGTGGGGGCCCAATGCGTTGCAGGCCCCCAGGGCGTGGCAGGCGTGGCAGTTCCTCGACGCCACAGGGGGCGCGCTGGGGGGAGGGGGGGAAGGGGGGGGCAGTTACGCCTTCCAGCAAGAGTCTGCCATCAGGTCCGACAAGGGAGTACGCAGTAGAATAATCATTACAACCAGCACCATTATGGAAGCCATGTGGGAACATGATGACAATATTGAGGGGAATGAGGTCCAGGGAGTCTGTAATGAGGTTCCGTCTAACCTTCTGTTTATAGCTCTTCTGATGTCAACTCGTCAATCGGCGTTCCAGCCGCCAACTCCCGAAGAAGACGGACGGCTTCCGTAGTAGAGTATGGGACAGCTCAGGAGAGATGGGTAGGTCGAAGTGGAGACGGAGTAGAGTTTCAGTGGAGACCGATAGGCGAGTCACAAGCCTGCGTTGCCGCTGAGGCTTGCTCCTCGCCTTGACGACTCCCTTTTTTCTCCTCGTCCATCTTGAGCCAAATTGCAGCGTTACGGCGAAAGTCGGCCTGAAGCTGCTGACCTAGAGTGCAAAATACAGTGCAACCCATCCCTGGAGGCGGCGTTGCCGCTAAGCCCCCAGAGATCTTGAGACACATGGCGGTGCAAGCTATCGTGGCAACCAAGGCCAGAGTCGGCCCACGGTCAACATGCGTTGTCCTACCTTGTGGGATAAAGGTCTTCCAAAAGTGTGATATATTATGCCTCACGCACCGCACGTCACAACTACATCACTCCTCCTCTCTCCAGCGTGCTCCACATACGCTCCGCCGGAGCACGTTCCAACGTGCTCCGGAAACGGCCCGCCGGAGCACGTTAGCTTCGGTGTTTTTTTTCTGGTCGGCTCGCAGGCCAAAAAGGTCACCGGCTCCATCGCACGTGCTCTCTTGTTCAGACATAGGGGCAGCACCACGGGAACTTGTAACTACGCGTGCTGGACCTCAAATTCATTCCATGCGTAGCATGCTCTCCCATATGCTGCTGATGCCGATGCTACGCTGCCTGGTTCACATGGCTGGAGGGCCCCCCATACACACGCTCCTCCTTCGGAGTCCTGTGCAGTGGGACGTGCATAGGGCCTCTGACAATCCCGATCGCACCCAACATCGGAGGACATACCCCGCAGCTCGATCGGGGTGTAGGGGGCCCTCTGGTGCTCTTGCGCTGCGCGCGCTCAGATGCCCCACAAGCCTGTGGTCTGGCGCTGTGCGCTGCGGGCCCTCTGGTGCTCTGGCGCTGTGCGCGCTCAGAAGTGGGCCCTGACCTTCGCCATGTGGTCGGGCCCCTTGCTCTTGGTGAGCCCGTCGGCGCGCATCAGAGCCGTCTCCACGTAGATCAGCTCCAACATGCCGCGCTCAACTCGGCTCCGGATGGCGTTGTCCTTAGTCATAAGGTTCCTCGTCCTCCAACTGCCGCGACCATCAGCGATGTGGTTCGCCGCTTGGTTGTCGCCGTGGAGGACTGCGGTCGTCTGCAGCTCCACGGAGTGGGCGACCGCCTCCAGACCGTAGAGCAGCTGGCAGCTGAGGGCGAGACCCTTCATCTCCGCCTCGGCCGTCGAGAAGCAGACCAACTGCTGCCTCAAGCTGCGCCAGTCGACCAGCATGCGCCCATGCATGAAACAAGTGACGCCTGTCTGCGCGCCCGCATCGCCATGGCTGGCATCCGAGAAGACGTCCAACTGGCAGATGAGGTCCTGCAGCTCGTGGGGGGTGTTCAGCACGTAGACCAGCGCCAACTGGCGGGTAGCCGCCAAGCACCGCAAGACCTTGCCCAGAACGAGGGACGCATGCGGCCTCCGAGTCGCATGGCTGGAGATCCGCGAGACGCTGTAGGACAGGTCTGGCCGAGTGCGGCTCGAAAGCCAAAGGAGTCCACCTGCCATCCGTTGCGCACCGCGCACATCATCAGGGTCAGGCTTCTCCTCGTCGTCCTCGGGCTGGAAGGGCAGGTAGATCTCATCGTCGGGGTTGATCGACTGGCAGCTGTTGCACTGGGCAATGTTCCACTTCATCAGCATGTCGTTGACGTATTCGCGTTGGCTCAGCGTCAGGCGGTAGGGGTTTATGCCGATGTCGATGGACAAGTGCCGAATGGTTCCCGGACAGTCCGGGGAGATGATCTTCTGGGAACTCGTAGTCCAGAGCGCGCCGATGGAGGTCTGCAGGGTCCTCACCGCGCCCTCGGAGCCCATGAACAAGAAGTCGCCCACGTAGCTCAGCGCATAGCCCAAGACGTCGTCCACCCCGTTAGCCTTGACGAGCCAGACCGAGCTATCGACCGCAGACTGCTCGAGGTGGCACTGGAGCGCGCCGACGGTGAACGTCAGCTTGCGGAGCTCCGCGTTGCGCAGATCGCCCCAAGCCTTCGGTGAGCACCTCAGCCCGTAGATGGCCCTCTCGGCCACCCAGAGCTCGCCCGCCGGCACCAGCCCGAACTTGACGAAGATGGCCGGTGGGCGAATGACCACTCGTTTCTTGTCCACAGGGAGGAACGCGTTCAGAAACGCGGTAGAGACGTCGAGGGCCGACACGCTCCAACGACGGTGCGCGCACACGGCGAGCGCCATGCGGAGGCTGGCAATGTCAAAATTCTGCGTGAAGGTCTGCTCCGAGGGGCCCACCGCCTCGAAATTGCCGCACACGCAGCCGCGCGCCTTGAAGCGCCGACAGCCAGATGCGTCTGGAGCCTTCTGCCCCGCAACCACCTTCATGGGCAGTATCTCGGAAGGCTTTACAGAGTGCGCCTCCGAGGCCGTGAGGGGGCGAAGACAACCGCCCTTCAGGCTGTTGAGCTCGCTCTCGAGTGCCGCTCGCCACTTCTCCCTAGTCATCCCGATCGTCTTCGCGATCTCCGCGCACGTGACGATGCTCAGCCCGCTGCCCTTCACGATCTTGGTGAACTCGGGAGGCGCATTGTCGTCGTCCGCGGTGAGGGCGACCTGCCCCGGGGCCGCGGTGGCAAAAGCCACAGGAATATATTCGAACTATTCCACCATGCGAGGGGAAGGCTGAGGATCAGGAACATCATCATGACCGAAACCTGCGAGTGCAGCTCGTTGATGCTTGTCTCCTCCTGATCCTAGCCTGCACCTGTGGTCCCTGGTGTGCTTGACATGTCGGCCGCGGCAGGCAGGGCAAGAAAATCCTCCGCCGGGAGCTCCGCGATCGAAGGGTTGCTCGCCGGTGTCGCCCAGGAGAGGCCGCGCCTGCAACGCGCGTCTCGCGTGTGCGTGCGGTGGAGGCCGCGGCACGCAGGACAAGCGATGTCCTTCGGCACCGCCACCTCGAACACATCTCGGTCACCGTCTGCGCGGGCAGGTCGTCGAAGATGGTCGTCCGATGATCCCGCGGGTGGAGGGGGCTCCAGGGGCACATTCGGGTCGCCACTGCTCTTGGAACTCTGGGCATCAGCACCTTCAAGGACTCCTCCGAGACCGTGGTCAACATGAAGTGCACCTTCCGGAGATCCAGCGCTGGTCGATTCAACAGGTGGCGCCTCTTCAATGCCATTGAGCTCCTCCTGCTCCTGGATCCTCGCCGCGAACGTCTTGAGCACCACCGGGGTCCTCAGGCACCACTGCGAAGGACGACGAGGACTCAATGACCCACCGCTGCTCAGGTCGTTTCGCGGCGAGGTCCTTCCGCCCGATCAACCATTTGCTCTCCGCGCCCACGCCCAGGAACACGGCGTCGCGCGCCCGCTCTGCCCACATGGACGAAGGGGCATCCTCGATGCGAGCGCAGACCTTCGCACCGAAAGCCGGGCACTTCACTGGTCGATCCTGTGCGTGCATCCTGGAGCAGTACGCAGAATGCTGCACGGCGCACGCCCACAAGGCCTGCCGGTCCAGGGGGTCGCTGAAGGAGAGGAGCATTGCCCTGGCCCTCAGCTTCACCACGCCGATCCCGCGCTCGGCCCGGCCATTCGAGCTGGGCTCGAAACCCGGCGTCGAAGTAACAGCTATCGGAGGGCTCTTCGCCTCGAGGTGCCGCTTGATCTGGTCCCCGTGAGGTTCCCAGCTCGATCACCATGGATGCGGTAGCAAATGTTGGCCCCTTCGTCCTCCATCCGAAGCTGGGCAAGGATAGACTCGATAGCATGAATGCAACTGGCGGCCTTGGGGCTCTCCAGCGGCACGCAGAAGTACCAAGTCCTGGAGATAATGCCGCTCTCGTCCTCGACCTCGTCGTCGGCCGCGATGCTGGGATCGCCGCCTGGGGAGAGCTTCTCCTCCTGTTCTTCGGGAAGCTCGAGCTTCGGCCTGCCGGGCCGCGCCGAAGGGCCGAAGTTGGGCACGCAGACGCTGAGCCCAACATGATTCGTCCGCAGCTCCAGGCCCCCGAAGGATTTCACCCCGAACATGACCGCCACCTTCTTCGCCAGCTCGGTGTCCTGCTCGACGGAGTCGCCCGCGACCGCAGCGTCGAGTCGAGGGGCGGCAACGGTGTCGGACTCTCCCGGCGCCGTCGGCTCACGGTTGGGGAGTGGGGGGCCTTGCGAACGCGTTCTCCTTCGCGATCGACTCCAGGCGCTCGCGGCCCCTCTTGGCAGCCAGAGTCTCGACGACGTAGGCCCCGAGAAGGAAGTGAACGGCCTGCTTCGCCGAGTTCTCGGGGCGGCTGGAGGGCCACCGCCCTGGGAGGTGCCGCCCGGAAGTGTCAGTGCTGAGCTGGCCTCCGGGCCTCGTGGAGACGTCGAAACGGCGATGGGCTCGAAGGCGACCGTGCGTTCCACGACAGCCTGGGCAGGTAGGTCGAACGCTGATGTGCCCGCCGCCCATGTGCTCCTGAAGCAGCTCACGACGACGGAGTCCAGCAGCGAGAGTGCTCATGCGCCCATCTATGGTGGCGCGCTTCGCCTGGCGCCTGCGATCGCGCAGGAGCTCTGCATCGCCCTCCTCAATGTAGATCGCGCCCTTCTCGCGGAGCAGGGTGATGACCTCGCCCGTTGGACAGCTCAGGGTGCATGCCGAGGAACTCCGTGAAAGTCTAGGCTCATCTCGTCGATGTAGCTGCCCAACGGGAAGAGCCACTGGAGGTCCTCACCCAGCACATACACGACATCTCCCACTATCATGGCCCCTTCCACCCCTGCTGCCGTCTCCAGCGGGACGGGGGCGGCGCATTCAGGCAGGTCGCTGAAGGACTTGCTGCCACGAAGCTCGTGGGTGGCGCCAGTGTCCTTGAGGATCCAGCGCTTGCCGCCCTTGGCCAGAAGCCTCCTCGCCCGCGGGCGGTCGGAGACCTCGACCACCTTCACGATCCGCGGCTGCCCGCGCGAAGGCGGAGCCGAAGCGGCCGGTGCTGGCGCGGGCGCTGCCGTCGAGGCAGGCGCAGCTGTCGGCGCAGACGCACGCTGACCGCGATCAGGCGGAGCAGCGGCTGCGGCCGAAGACGGACTCCAGGGAGGCGGGGGTGGAGGGACATCGAGGACATCGTTGAACTCGTGATCGCCGTCGTCGTAGAAGTCGGCGAGGCCTCGGGGACGATGAGATCGAACAACGCGCCCGGCAGGGACTGCCGAGGAGGATCCAAGCTCCATGAGGGACCTCAGCTCCTGTCGCACGATGCCGCTGACGTCGCTGGTAGTCAAGGGACTCGGAGTTGCAACCGCTGCCGACCTGCCAGTGGCTGCCGGCCTGCCCGCCTCGTCCGCGCAAGCGGCCGAAGTCGATGGAGATCCTGCCGAGGCTGCGTTCTGGTCTTCCGCCTGGCCCCTCTCGGCCTTCGCCGGAGCCTTGGGCTTCCGCGGCCGGCGGCAAGCTGCCGCGCCATGGCCGCCCGCGCCGCAATTAAAGCAGCGCCCATCGGTCGGCTCCAGTCGGGCGCCATCCGACTTGCAGCGGCGCATCGGGCATGGCCATCCCGCGCTGCAGCCCGTCGCGAGGTTGTTGAAGTGCGGGCAGATGGCCACGCCCTTACCTCCCGCGGCTTCCTTGCCCTTCCCGAGCTTGCCCTTCGGGCCGCCTTTGGCTGGCTTGCCGCCCTTCGGGTCGCCCTTGGTCGGTTTGCCCTTGCTGGCGGCCGCGGCGGCAGCGGCGGCCGCGGCGGCTGCTGCTCGAGCCGCTTTCGTCGAAGGATTAGGAAGGTCCTTCTCCTTGACGTCGCCCGAGTACTCCCGAGCCTCGGCACTCAAGTACCTCCAGAGAAGATCTACTTGAGCTTGGTTGACCGTCCCGGCCGTGATGTTGTTCTGCACCAGGAACGCGAGGAAGCGGTGCTTGAACTCTTCGCCACTGTCCAGGAGCTTGCTCGCGGTCTGCTTCAGGGCCGCCATTTGGATGGATGGGCCAGGCAGGCTGGTGTCGAGGATGACTGAGCGGTTCAGCGCGAACTTCCACGTCTGCAAGCTCCTTGTACACCCCCTTGACCTCCACCACCTTACCTTTCTGCACTCGCTCCAAGACTGCATGCTTGTCGCCCCCTGTCCCCGGCCCTGCGTCCACGTACGCGGTGAAGAGAATGCTCGTCAGCACGTGCGACATTGTCGCACGTGCTGACGAGCTTCGTCGATAAGCACATGGTCTTCAAGGTGAGAGGTTAGATGCATCGCCCCCCAATCGCCCACTGATCACCAATAGGGGCCTGGTAGCCCGCCCAACCCAGGAACGTGCGGATTCGCCATCGGGGAGCCTATCGCCGATCTGTCAGCGATGCATCCCCGATTCCAAGTCGATGTTCCCCCCTGAGCCTGTCCCCCTTTGACTTTTCACATGGCAGCGAGAACCGCCCCGAAGAGCGCCGCCGCCGCCAGGAGCGGGAGGCGCGGAAGCTCGCGTGTTCCGCTCAGCCGCTCGCTGGGTCCGGAGCCGGGGGCTGTCGGGGATGCCAAAAGAGGGGGCCATGAAGCAAAGTGGTCTTGACCCAGACATGCTCGAGTCGTGGAAGAATCACGACGGAAGTTTTTGGCCGTTCTCGGCCTCTGGGGGCCCCCATTGGGCCCCGGGACCGTCAAGATTCGGAACGCAAGAGCAGCCTTGGGGAAAGGGTCGGGACTTCCAGGGACCCCGCATAGAAAAAGTCGAGATGTCGGATGCCTGGATCTCTGGGTCCTGAGGTTCTTCACCAGGTTCGGCCTGCGAGGCCCTCCACGGGCCCTGGGACTGCCAGAGAACGGCTCCGGACGAGAAAGTGGTCTTGGGGGAAGGCCCCGGGGCCCAGGACCAGTTTGCCTCAGGGCCCGTCTGCCTCGTGCCAGAGATGGGGAGGGGGGGGGGGGGGCGTCGCCTCGGAGGGGGGGCCAGGACCTCCAGCGTCATGAACTTGTCACAGCGTGGGCCCCCGCGGGTCTGGGCCATTTCCCCGGGACCCGCGATGCATCCCGAGTCGTCCTGGTGGCGGCTCCAGGCCCCGCGGGGGTCCCCAGAGGCCGAGGGAGCCCAGGAGTTGTCCGTCGTGCTTGTTTCGCGGCGCGAGGAGGTCTGGAGGCATCGGCCCCAGGAAACGAGTCCGAATCCCAGATTTCTCGCCGATCGGGGCCTGCGGTGCCCCACCCCGCCCAGGAGCGTGCGGTTCTGCTGCGGAGGGTCTCTCGCCGATTTGCGCCTGTTTCAGGGTCATCTCTCTTCCCCCCCTGAGCCCCCCCCCCCATCCTTCCCCATCGCGGCTGCCGAGATCTCGAAATGCAATACCGCTGGGAGGAGGGCCAGGCCAGACAGGAGGCAAGCGGCGCCTGCTCCGCGAGGGGAGGGAGGCAGTACACCAACACCGTTTCTGTGCAGGCCGATTTGGGGTTCAGTGTCGGTCCATGTGCCTTCCTGGTCAGGCCAAGACGACGTGTGCACTGGTAGTGACCAACCGAGCGCAGGCCAGGTCCGATCGGGTTTGCATGCGAGCAATTTCAGTAAGTTTCGGGCTTGCGCCAGGACTGTGCGCCCCATCTGGGGGGGATCTTGACTCGCATGATCGTGGCTCAGGAGTCAGCTGAGGCCAGTCCACGCCGCCCCACTCCAGGTAGGCTCGAAGGATACGTACTCTCGCTGACCTCTATCATCGGGTGATGCCGCCAATCCGCGTTCGTTCCTCCAGGTCTGCTGAGCATATTGACGGCGGTCCAGAACCTCCCCAATCCGAGGCTGAAGCGCAGCACCCTCGCGCCTCGCCCGCCGTGCACGAGGACGGCCCGGCCGGCAGAACCTGCCGAGCACAGGGGCCGGGCAGCAACAGAGAGGAGGACTTCCGCAGCGACAGCAAGCACCTCTACGAGGAGATGTTCGGGCTCCTGCTCTCGATCGAGAGCACCCAGGCCGACCACCAGCGCGCCGTGCTCGAGAAGCTGGACCAGCTAGAGAGGCACATGGGCGGCGGCCCCGCCGCGCAGGCGCCGCGGATGCCGGGGCAGTCGGGGCTCCAGGTGCCCGAAGACGTGAGGTTTGCCAGCGTCCGCAGAAATGCCGTGCGCATGACCGCCAGCTCCCAGTACTACGAGGAGGGAAGCCAGGCAAGACAGACAGAAGCCAGGCCATCCATATACGAGGAGAGGAGACGTGCACCACGCATCGCACAGATCGGCTTGAATACCAACATCACACTGCAGAAGCTTAGTTTCCAGGCCGTCACAGAGCATGCCCAAGCTGCGTCGGTGGGAATGCAACGAGGCTATTTGGGGCTGCCTCGCCAGTTTTGCCTCGATCTAGTGAGCCACCCGCTGTTCGATATGGTCATGAGCACGGTGATCGTGCTCAATTCTGTGTGCATTGGCGCTGAGCTCACAATGCAGCCGTCCCCAGACAGTGGGACTCCAGAGACGAGGTTCTTCTTCGTGATCTTGAAGACCATATTTCTCATCATCTACGTAGTGGAGCTTGCGTGCCGCTTCTGCGGAAGCGGAACACGGTGTTTGCGGCGCGCTTGGGTGAAGTTTGATTTTGTCCTCGTAGTCGTCTGTGTTATTGATAGTTGGTTCTTGCCCGTTGTTGCTCTGATTATTGGAAAATCTGTGACGCAGCTCCTGCCTGGTATATTGTTTTTCCGCATATTTCGTTTGGCACGTGTCGCTCGGGCATTACGTTTGTTTGCACAGTTTCGGAGTCTCTGGATGTTAGTGTCCGGTTTGTCCTCATCTTTCATCGTACTCGTGAACATATTTCTCGTCTTATTGGTGACCATTTTCGTATTCTCGTGCGTGGGCGTGGAGGTGATCACAAATCATTCCAAGGGCTCTGCGGAAGGGAATTTCAAAGACTTGGTGGACCAGTATTGGTCTTCGCTTCCGACGATTATGTTGACCCTGGTCCAGCTTACCACGTTGGACGCCGCGTCGGCAATATATACACCGATGATCCATGAAGACTCTTGGCTCGTATTGTTCTTCATGCCCTTCCTCCTGCTCGTGTCCGTCATCCTCATGAACTTGATTACGGCCGTGACGATTGACGCCGTCAGAGAGAATCTAAAGAACGACCATGAAACGCAACGTCTGTGGAGCGAACATCGCATGCAAGAATTGAGGCCGAAGCTGAGGAATATTTTCAGCGCGCTGGATGCGGATGGCAACGGCCAACTCTCCCTCAGAGAGCTGCAACGTGCTCCCCGTGAAGTGCAGAATGAGTTGGCGAACATCCTCAATGTGGACTCTCTTTCTGACCTATTTCATGCAGTGGACGCGGACGGCAACAACGAGGTGACTATCGAGGAGTTCTTTGAGGGTATGGCGTGGCTGCTCAGCGACAACCCTTCCCTGGAGATCATTCGTAACCTAGCGCTGCTGAGGCTCATCAAGCGGGACCTCGAAGAGCTGAAAGCCCATATGAAGTCAGCCATGCCGCTCCCTCCTATTCCTCCTCCTCGTCATTCTTCCTCATCGAGATGATTTTGTACAACAGACGACGGCGTCTCTGATGCCGTGGGCCACGGTCACGCTGTTAAAGGGCTGTAGACCGTTGTCGGTGCAGGGGCAGCCATCAGTTTGCTGTTATAATCTCTTCTGCTGTCCGCTGCTGCTACATATGTAGCGGCATCGCCTTGCAATTCTGTCACGGTGCAGCTCGCGATTGCAGCCAACCAGCGACGCCTCCGTCATTTTCGCTGGTTTGGCGCGTGTTGGTGGCTCTCACATGGCAGTGGTTGTGGTTTGGACTGACAAATCGGACTCCTTGTTCAGCCAAAACGGCTAAAACGGCCGCGGTGAACAAGAGAGTGCAAGCATGAGAGAGCGAGAGCAGCAGCAGAGATAATTCTAATTATCATCCTATATCTCACATCCCTGCTCATACAACTTTCACACAAGAAAAGGAAACGTTGCTAGAGAATGCCTTGGCAAATTTTGCAGCAAGCTTCTAGAATATTCAATAATATTATCGGCTCGAACGGTCAAGCTACCGTCCGTGCAAGATACAAAAATCTTTACCTGAGCTCTAGAGGGGGTGCTTTCACTCATCATCTGTAAATAGTAATCCAAATGCAACTCTCACACATCCTCACTACCGTTCACATCTGAGCCACTGCCATGGCTGGCTCAAAGATATCGTCGCATATGTGGTAGTGGGGTTCAGCGTACACGCACTGCTGACTTGATGATGTTGTATGCAATGTAGCTTTTGATGCTTGGGTCGAGGTTATAGCTCCTGCTCTCGTCGGCGTCCAGCTTGAGACACCGTCCTAGGCAATTTGCGTAGTGCCCATCCTTCGCATAGATCGTCTCGTAGCTGTCGCCCTCGTACTTGCCACTCCTGATTATCGTCGGTCCCATGGTCTCCAGCCACTGCCGCAGTAGAGCACTATCTCCCAGCATGATTGGTCCATCTCCCATGATCTCGTCGTCGTAGGTCTCTGGCTCGGCTCGTACTGCGAGTGTTGTCGTCGTAGCTTTCGGCGTAGCCTTCGCCGTCCTGGATTTGACCTTGACCGGCTTCTCGGGCAACTCTGGCTTGAAGAGGTTGTCGTTGCTTGAACTATCCACCTCCATCGGCTCTGCGGTGTCCTCGTCGTCGTTCTGCTTAGGCTGCATTATGTAGATGAATTTGATGATACCCGCGATGATAGAGACTACTGTCACCACCGTAGGAGACAGCGAAAGACAAACTCCATACACTGCAAGTGCACAGAGTTGAAACAGAACTACAACTTGGTCAGGTATCTGGATGGTCCTCTGCGCGCCACTCCTCTCCATCGGGTAGTTGTCCGTTAGCTCTTCCGTGTAGAATGCCTCGACGTAGTCCTCATCTTGAGCTTCATCCTTGTCGTCGTAGAAGCACTCGTCCACGTAGTTGTACGTCTCCACCGGCCACGTAGAGATCTCCTCGTCGTCCCTCCCGGTGTCGTCGCACAGCTCCTGCTTGACGTACTTGGCCATATTCGCGTTCAGCTCGTCTACCTCCTTGTTGGCTGCCACCTTCTCTGGTCCAACAAGCTTTCGTCCGCGAATTGATGGTGCCCTGTCATCAGGCCCAAGAGTCCACAAATTTGATGTAACTATCTTCCTCGCGTAGCCTCCTGGAAGTACTTTCGTCAAACAGTCCGCCAGCATCTGCTCGCTCTTGACCCACTTGATGCTGACCTCTTTGAGTGACTGCCGCAATACAATATAGCCGCTTCCAGAGAAAGCCTCCTGTCCGTCATAGAAATCTTCTCCTTTGTGATCGTGTCGTATAGGCTCTTGCAGTCGGTCACCGAAATGCATTTCACCGGGCAGGTGTCGTGCACAATCTCGGTCATGTCCATCTCTGGGTACAGGATCTCCGCCAGGGTCGACCTCGTCCATATCAACATGTCCACCGAATCCGCACATGAGTAGGCCTCCGCCGATAGAGTGGATCGCACCACTCGTTGAATCTTGGAAGACTGCCACCCAATGCAGTGCACCTTGTACTTGTTGCTGTGGTCCTCGTTGATCTTCTGGTCGCCCAGCATGATGAAGTGTCCGCGTTGTGATCTGTGCTTCGGCAGATTGTCGAAAGCACTGTCGGTGACATTGATCACCATGGTCTCCCACAGGTTCAGGCCTGCTGAGAACCTGATCAGCAAGTCGTCCCGCTTCTGAATCCGCCTGATGGCCGCGTTGCCGTCCTCTAGGTCCCTCACCGTCGGAGCTCCCAGCGTAGATGCCAGTCGGGATGCCTCGAAGGCCTCCTCGAAGCATATCATTCGCGCAGCCCATTGCAGTTGTCCAACTACCATTCGTAGTCCACGATGCTCTGCATGGGTCAAGGCGCTGTCTGGTGCCTTGCTGCGCTCTCTGGAGATACATACAGTCTGCATCGACTTCACGTAGGCCTCCATGGTAACGTTGATGGTGCCGTCCCTGTCCTGCTTGTAGGCCCGGCCACAGAACGTCGCCTGCTCCTTCCTTGCGTGCTTGACCTCGCCGAAGTCAATCTCCTTCTGCAGGTCCTTCATGAACTTGGCGCCCTCCGGGTCACCCTGCTTGATGCCCATGAGGAAGTCGTCCACGTGCAGGCACGTGATCCCGATGATCGTGCCCTCCGCATTGCGCTTGATGAAGGTCGCGGGCTCGAAGCTCAGGCCTTCCCATCCAAGCTTCACGAGCGTCTCGCGTAGTGCCACATACCACGCACGAGCTGCATCGTTGGTCTCGTAGATGCTCTTGTTTAACTTCAGCAGGTCGCCTGCCTTCACTCCCGGGATGTTGCACTTCCCGAGGTTCGTCGGGATACGGAAGTAGAGCTCGCGTGTGATGGTTTTGCCTTGCAGAAAGGCTCCCTTCACATCTGCGATGACTAGGTCCAAGTTGAGGCTTGATACGATGCTGCACAGGAGTAACGTCATCTGTGCTGAGACTGTAGGTGAGTCCCGTCGTAGCTTGTCGTCGAACTCCTCCTCGTAGCCTCTCCCGCAGATCCTGGCCTTCGGCTCGAAGGTCGTGGGGTCCTTATCGGTCCAGACCACCTTGGAGCTCAGGATCTTGTCCGTGTCGACCTTGTCGTCTGCTGCTCCTGATATGTGGGTTGCTGCATCGTACTTGCACCGCGTGTTCCACTCCTTCTCCACCGCCTGCTGCATCTTCTTCCACTTGAGCTTGTCGTCGCCGAGCGTCTTCAAGTTGATCTCCTGATGCTTGTTGGCTCTCGTCGGTTGGCTGCACATCCGCTGGGCCACGAACGCCTCGACGAGCAGCGGTGTATCTGCCAGCTGCTTGACTGGCCCAGTTTGTGCCCGGGCTCGCTTGATGCTGATCGGCACATCGTCCAGCAATAACTCCTTGATCGTGACTGGGTGTTCCTGGCGCTTGCCCTGTGCAGGCTGTCGCGTACTGGACGATGATGTAGCCGGCTGATCTTGCGGTACCTCTGCTGGTACTGCTGCCGTTTCCTCCACCTTCTGGCGTTCCTCCATGTGCCTCTGGATCTTGGCAGGTACTCGAAGCTGAGCTCGATCGTCCTGAGCGTCGCCCCGCTTGGTCTGCTTGAGCTTCAGGTCCTTCTTGGTGTGCTTCTTGCCTCCGCGCTTCACCTCCTTAGGTTCCTCCATGGTCTCGTCCGTGTTGGTAGGTTCCTGCGGGGCTGCTGCAGGCTGTTGGCCACCTCCTGGTCCATCTCCAGCTTCCTCTTCCTTTCCCAGAGTGATCTCCTCGATGATCGTGATGGGGTCTTGTGATACCACATCGTCGATGATCTGAGGATTGGCTATCCAGTCCACTCTCGAGGTATCTTGAACCAGGTCGCGCGTGTCCAAGTTGAAAAGCCGACGCCTCTCGATCCTGTACCCAGGCGTTGGATCAGGTAGAAGAGGGGCGTTCCTGACGTTATACAGCTGCCTCAGGTCGGTCTTGCCTTGGCTGCTGGCCGCCACTGCCCCCAAGATGGTGTCCCAAGCTTGGTGCGCTCGAACAAGTCGTGCTCGTAGATCTTCCTCCGCTTGATCTTGATCAGCTGGTACTGTCTCGTACTCGTCGTCCAGCCTCTGACGCATTGGCATCACGTCGTTATCGTGTACCACTTCCGATCGTCGCTTCCTGCTGTCCGCTGGCTTCGCCAGCTCCACGTTGCCCTGAGCAGGTGCTGCTGGTGCCGTCGTCGGCGCACTCCATGGTGCATCACCTTGTCCTCCTGCTGGCTGTGGTGGAACATCGCCCTGTCCAGGATGCCGCTGATGTCCTGGATCTCGGTGATATTGATGTTGATCTGGCTGATGATCTGGCCGTTGATCTGGCTGCTGGTCTGGCTGTTGATCATCTCGTGCTGGGTTATACTGTTGACCTCGAAGGTCCAGAAAACCACGCTGACCAGCTCGTCCACGTGCAGGTCCACCATCTGAAAACAGGTCGGTAAACTGCATGTTGGTCACCTCGTGCTCAGTCGCCCTTCGAAGGAGACTGGGTGAACTTAGGATCGGGGTCCTGTTATGGATCAGCCAGTAACCGTGCTCATCCTTGCCCAGGCACCGGGCAGGTCCATGCCATCGTGCATGCAGGTTGCGCTTTAGGTTATCAGATCGCCAAAACATCAATAAGTCACCTTGCTGAAATGGCCCTGGCTGGGGCCTCGTCCTCGCCAGAACTGTCCGTCTCAATGCTGATGAGTTTGCTGCCTTGAAAAAGGAATCCGAACAGATCTGTTGAAGGTGTAGTCGGTTCCAGTATGACGTTTTCTCGGCCACTCGTGAAACCACTGCTGGGTCGTTGTCGGGATTCGCCAAACTTGCAGGCAGTCGGTGTCCAGCTCCAAGTACCCATTGCTGTGGTGAAAAGCCTGCCGTGCTGACAAGTTGATTGCACGCGTTGGCCATACCACGCACTGCTGCTGCAACCGAATCTTGACCACGAGCGTCCCCAGCGTTGAAGACACTCGTCGCCATCTCCTTTAGGTATCGTATCTTCCTTTCTACTTTGCCCACCTGCCAGTGAGCCTCTGGAGCCGCATTGTTGATCACAATGCCCAGGTCGTTGGCGCCTCAAACTCGCCCATGAAGGTAGAGTCCTGGTCCTGCTCCACGACGTGTGGTGGCCCGGCCCAGGTAAGCCATCCGAGTTCGAAAGCCTTCTTTGCTAACTCTGCCGTAGGTCTCGATCCGGGACACGTGTAGATCGCCGCGGTGAAGTCCGAGGCCACGTCCACGATAACAAGCACCACGTTCATGTTCTTGTCCAGGTCGGGTATGATCATGAAGTCCATGCTGATGGCTTCGTTAAAGTCCCTAACCTTAGGCTGAGCTGCAGTAGGTCTCGCTGCCATCCGAGCCTGCTCTTCACATGTCGTGCATCTGAAGAGACGTG